TCTCTCTCTCTCTCAAATAAATAAATAAATAATCTTTAAAAAAAATAATTGTATTTGTAAAGTTACCCAGAAGATTCTGATGCTCACAGAGGGCTGAGAACCACAGTTGGAGCAATTAAGAACATAGGCTTTGGAGTTAGACAAATAGAATTAGAGACAGGCCTTGGTTTCTCCTATTTACTTGCTGTCATTGGACAATAACTTAACCTCTCTGAGCCTGAGCTTCCTCATCTATAAATGGGAACAATATCTTCCTCACAGGAAGATAAGTGTTATATATGATAATACAGAAATGTGATCCATAATATGTGTATCATCTAGATCTGGTCCATAATAAATGTTTAATAAACGAGAGCTACTTTTAAGTGTACTGCCTGAAAAAGATGTTGATTTAACTTTGCTCTAAGACTAGCTCTTGCAAAGTTGCCATATTTATAAGACAGGGGGAGGGATGCTTCTGGCTTCCTCTTTCTCTTCTCCTGGTGCTGCCTCTTTCCCCCTCATCTAAGGAATTTTTATCCTATCTCTCAGGACTTTACATAAACGTAATCCTTAATAAAGCAAGGAATTCCTTATGCAAGTGTCTTTGGCAATCAGTGAGTAACTATTGAATAGTCAAAGAAATTAATGAATAAAGTGGAATTTCAACTGCCATAAGCCACAGTGGGGTTTGAGTCAGGGGAGAGTGGGGAGCACTTCTCAGCACCTCTGCAATCACCCTGATTGTTTCCTATTCAGCCCCCATTGGCATTGTTTCTGTGCCAGTATGAGGGAGGAGGTGGGCAGAGGAAACAGCGGCTTCACAAAATAGGCCAGAGAGTGGCATTTACCCCAAAGATGTTAGAAAATAGAACAGATTGGCTTTCACTCAATAAATACCTCTCAAGCCCTTCTACACACCCTAGTCATAGTGATAACCAAGACAGCCACAGTCCCTGTTCTCATGGTCCAACAGGACTCTTGGGTTTCTCTTACTCAAATGCACATCATTGTTACAATAGCCACCACCCACAGAGGTCCAGCTTACTGTGTACCCAGGACTATGTTAAGAACCAAGTACAAAAAATTCTGGGCCACCCCTACTCATGAGTGAAATTTGGTGAGAGTTATAGCCCATCAATTCACTGCAAAGTTGACCATTCAGGGGAGGATCTTATCTTTAGACTAGGCCACAGAAGGTTGACATGTCTTCACATAGCTGTCACTGCCTGATGCCTAAATCACTGTAAAGCCAACAAAGCTGCTCATTTCACAGAGATGTGCCACATACTTTCTTTCATAGTATTCTCTATACTGTAGTATCACTGGATTTATGAGTGCCTTGATTGTCAGTGCCCTTTCATATTCATATATGTATCCCTAGTACCTTGGAAGGCATATGACTTGTAACAGGTGTTCAGTAAATGTTTGTTGAATGACTGAGTGAACTTATAATCCAAAACCACTTAAGAGGATACAGGACAAATTGAGTTCTCCTTGAAGTGCAACAGCAGACTCTTTCTTGGAACGAAATGGGGGAAAGGCAAGAGAGGGAGCCCAGCTGATTTCCTGTTGTCTAGGACTAGGTTTTTGGTGAATGAGGCAAGGCAGCATTTAGAAGTCAACAGAAATTTAGTTCTTAGAAAATTCAGTTCTTTCACACAGGGAAAACCAGTCACTTTGTGACATCACCTCTTCTTAAGTCCAACGTGCTGACAAGTGAAGTCTGGTAAAAACTCATATCAAGGGTGGTCTTGAACTTTCAATTTCAACCCAGGGCCACAGAGACTACTACAGATATAACTATGCCAGGAAAGAAAGGCTGTTATTCCTGAGGGAAGTATTAGACAAGGAGGCCGAGAGGGAATTCCTGAGGGAGGCCAGATGCACCTCATAAACTTGTTCTAGCCTATCTCAGTTCAACTACAAGTGCCTTCCCTCCTTCTCCGCCCACTTCCATGGGGTCCAAAAGAATTTGCTCCAGTCTTCTACTGGCTTTAACATCTGGGGAGATGAAAATTTTAACCAAAGTAACTAACCTGGTTGTTTTGCAGTCCGCTATGAGATTGATAATGACCTAATGGAGTTCAACATTTTAAAAAACAGCTTTAAAGCTGACAAGGAGGTGAAGCGAAAAGAGATCCGAAATGGATTTCTCAAGCTGCGCAGCATTCTACAGGAGAAGGAGAAGTCCATTATGGAGCAAATAGAGAATCTGGAGGTGTCCAGGCAGAAGGAGATTGAAAAATACGTGTATGTCACAACCCTGAAAGTGAATGAAATGGATGGCCTGATTGCCTACTCCAAGGAAGCCCTGAAAGAGACAGGCCAGGTGGCATTTCTGCAGTCCGCCAAGATTCTGGTGGACCAGATTGAAGACGGCATCCAGAGCACCTATAGGCCTGACCCACAGCTCCGGCTACACTCCTTGCACTGCATGCCCTTGGACTTTGCTGAGCTCTCCAGTGCTATCCACGAGCTCTTCCCCACAGGACCCAAGAAGGTATGCTCCTCAGGGGACTCCCTGCCCTCCCCCTATCCCATGCACTCAGAACTGATGATCGCCAGGAAGGTCACTTTCAGCACTCACAGCTTCGGCAACCAGCAGATATACCAGCGAAGCTCCTCCTTGTTGTCCTTCAACGCCACCGGTGGTGAGAAGGCCAAAATGGGTCTGGACGCCTATGGGCGAGCCCAGTCCGCCACACCTGCCAAACCCACAGATGGCCTCTATACTTACTGGAGTGCAGGGGCAGACAACCAGTCTCTGCAGAACAGCAGCAGCTTCCACAACTGGTACTCATTCAATGATGGTACTGTGAAGACCCCAGGCCCAATTGTTATCTACCAGACTCTGGTGTATCCTAGAGCTGCCAAGGTAAGAAAGGCTCTGGGCCCATGGCGAAGACAAGGGGGTGTGAGGCACGGAATGGAGGTGGGTAGTCAGGAAAGGTTGCACTTACCTCTTTGATCTCTGGGGTCCAGTCACTCAAATCTGTTCCTCTGGATCCTTCATGGTCAGCCCATTCAAAAGGGATAAGTTCCTAAAATCTTAAGTACCCTAAGATTGGCTTAAACCAAACAACATATTTAACTTATAGTCAAAAATATATCTGAAAGCCCCAACCCCATTTCAAGGGCAACCCAAATTTGGGAAACAAAGTAATTGGAAGAGACTGCTTGGAGGGTGTAATATTTCCCAGGGGAAAGCCTGTAACAATAGAGAGAACACAGAAAATCAAATTGTAAATACAGGCTCCATTATCTATTAGCTGTGATTCCTCTAAATTGCTACCTTTCCTAAAGAAATTATCCATACTCTCCATGATTTGGAAAGAATGGAAGGAAAATCCCCAATGGAATCCCAATTCTTATCTCCTGAGATTCAAATTTGGGGGGTGTGGCTCTCTCACAGACCTCTACCACTGCCATCATCTGACTTCAGGGGACATGACTCCTCCTTGACCTTCTTGGCCTAACATGACCTTTCCCTCAACATTCCTTTCAAATGCAGCTGATATAAATTGAACTGTTTATAGAATGTGTTATTAAGGTTCAGGGAGAGAAACAGATTAACTTGCGATTAGATACTCTATTAGAGCAAATCTTGCCTCTCTTAGGATTCCCTACGGGGACATCTCCCAGGCCAGCCCATGGCCTGCTTTCGTGTGGCAGAACTCATCTTTTGCCCCCATAATCTGACAACACTCCCAGAGACTTTTAGCATCCTTGAAGTTGAAACCATTGATTCTCAAACGTTAATGTGCACCTGGAAGTCTTGTTAAAATGCACTTTTATATCAAGGGTCTAAAAAACAAGAAAATGAAAACCAGACTCTGACCAAGCTTTACTTTGCTGTTCTCCTGAGACATCATAATCTATGTTTTAGAGTCTATCACTGCCAGCAAGAATGGCCTTACATTGCAAAGTAGAATACACCTTCCCATGGGCTCTCAGACACAGCAAAGTATCTCTGCCCTTCACAGAAGAGATGTCCACAACTAAACAGCTGAACCTTCATTTCCAAATGATCCTAGATCAGCAAAGCCTGCAGTGTACGTGACATTAGCTCAGTGATGGCCTTAGCTCTCTCCATGCAACTTAGACTGCTTAGAAGATTGGCAGTTTCTTGCTCTGGAAGGGAAGAACTAGTGATATCTTCTCCATACTTGGGCTTGGAAAACAGTCACCCCACACCACCAGTTAGTGGTCCCTGGATGAGCCCAAGAAAGGGGCCTACACAGGAAAACCTAGTTAAGACATTGCCTGTCAAGAGAGGGACACCTAAACCTACTGCCAAATATGGTATTTGATTTGAAGATATTATTGATCCCCATTAGGATCATGGAATGGAATTCACATGGGAAACATAGTGCTCAGTAATGCCCAAGATGAAATCTGTGTTGACTTCTCTCACAAATGATGGTTGACAGTCCTCTTTAGGCTTTTGGCATAAAAAACATTCTCAAAGTTAGTATTGTAACTTGTCATTATGTATCTGAAAAATCCTAAGGAGTTTTTTCTAAAAACTCAATTTTATTTCTAGAAATCTTTCCCAGAGAAATGATTAAAAACTCAAATGAAGATTCATGCCCCAAAAGTCTTCACTGCATCATTATTTATTAGAGTGTAAAATTAGAAACAACCTAAACGTTCAACTATAGAAGGATTAAATCACTTATGGGACAGTTATTAAAATTGTGCTTTACTAAGTTTTTCATAATATAGGGAAATATGTAAAATATAACAAGTGAAAGAAAGTAGGAATCAAAGCAATATAACCCAAATTATATATATCTCTGTGTTTGTGTATGTTCCAAAATTGGAAAGAAATTAATTATTAACTGAATTTTGGAATCATAAGTGGTATTTATTTTCATCCCTTATATTTTTTCTGTATTTTCCAAGTCTTTTACAATGAGTATGTTAGTTTTGATAATCAGAAAAAAATAAGTTAATTTTCACTGATGAATTATATAAATTTATAAAAGGTTTTAAAAGTATAAATATATAAAAATAACTACAAATTATATAAAGTCACAAAAATTTATGCACTTATGAGTAATTATGAATTAATTTTATAAACATGACATTTGAATTTATTAAAACTTAAAGAACACAATATAATCAGTATAAAATATATGCAAAGCACAATCTGCTAATTGACACTTGTTAGTATATCTCTTTCCTAAAGTTGATATTTTATGTTTTGAGTGTGAACATATATTCTCCATGACTTGGGTAAGTCTTTTCACCTCTCTGGTACTCTACTTCTTTGTGTGTAAAATAGAGGGTTGGAATAGATACACTTTTCATCTTCTAGTAGTCTGTGGTTCTATTAGAATTTGCTTAATGTAACCTTCCTGAGCCTCAGCTGTAAAATGGGATAATAAAATCTCCCTTCCAGGGAATAGTGAAGACTAGGTGAGTTAGGCAATGTCAGACACAGAATCTGATGCATAGAAGGTGTTCAATAAATGGCAGCTACCTTACTTAGTTGTGTCAGTAGACCAGTGGTCACCGCCAATGTTGGCTGGTGGTAATAGAACCCAGAGAAGCATTCTTCTGTTCTTGAAATGCATCACAAGCATCATGTCAGGCCTTATCAGGTAGCCTTTCAAGACTGTTGCACATAGTCTACGTCAAAGTCCTCAGCAGCTGGAGGAGATGGGGTCAGCTTAAACTCACCCCACTGATAGTTAATGACACAAATCTTTATGGGAAAGAAAGCTGAATGGTGTATATTGATTCACACCCACATGCTCATTGCTTCATAGGTTTACTGGACATGCCCAACAGAAGACGTGGATTCTTTTGAGATGGAATTTTATGAACTCATTACTACCCCTCCTAACAATGTGCGGACAGAGCTTTGTGGGCAAATTCGGGATATAATGCAGCAGAGTTTGGAGCTGCACAACCTGACCCCCAACACTGAGTATCTGTTTAAAGTTAGAGCCATCAATGACAATGGTCCTGGGCAATGGAGTGACATCTGCAAGGTACTGTGCACATTTTTCTCAGACAGACTTTCTTTATAAGCTCTGATGCAGCTCTGTTAGGACGATCACGAGATCACAGAACCTACTGTGTGGCTGCCCCCTCTAATCCCAGAAAACTTGTTAACTCAGGTCAGAGAGAAGGCTGCTGGCCTTAACCAACTTGGCAAATGAGGCCTGAAAATTGTTAGTTCAGTTTGATTCAAAAAACATTTGAGCCAGGCATTCTTTTAGGATGTAGAGATTTAGAGGAAAATAAGACATAATCCTTGCCTTCAAGGAGCTCAGGGTCTATTAAACAGATAATTGTGGCGTGAGAAGGACAAAAAAAGAACTCATTATTAGCCCTGGTGGTGACTCAAAGCAAGTGTATAGTGCCAGATTTAACAAACATAAATACAGGACACATACAGAAAACAATTTTTAGTATAAGTATGTCCCATGCAATATTCTAGACATAGTTATACTAAAAATTTTTATTTGCTGTTTATCTGAAAGCCAAGGAATAGTCACTGAGCATGTCAGAATGGACTCCCAAAAAGAAGGGACAGGATTATTCCTATCTTCTTGGTGATGCAAGGCTGACTCTTCTTTATATCCCCAGGGGATATACATTCATGAATATAATTTTATTGATACTCAAATGAGAAAAGGAAGAAAAATATCAAGACTTCCCATAGCTATCTTACTGTATAACCATGATGATGTTTTTTGGGATAAGAGTAGATTTATGGCTTAATCAGGGATTCTTTAGAGTAAAGATAGTAAGTCCATTCATTTCAGCTTTTGAAAAGGGAGATTTATGGTACAGAGAGAGAGGAGTCTCATGAAACCACTTCCAGCCAGGATATACATCTGATCCCCAAGGGAACTAGAAAACTATCAGTTCCTCTCCCTTCCTCTCTCTGTCTCTCTGTCTCTGTCTCAGTCCTCCCTCTGCCCGCCCTTCTATGTCTGCTTCTGTCTGAATCTATTCTACTTTCACCTAGTTTGTAGTATCTCCTCTGCTAAATTCAGCTTGCTTGTGGTTTTGGATTGTCTTGGCCCAATGTCTGTGTGACCAACACAATCTGACTAGCAACACTCCCTTTGTCTCAGGTCCAGTGTTTGCAGAAGAGAATCTTCCCTGATTGGTTGCTACCTCTAGTGATGAAGGGAAGCAGGAGGCAGGGTGGGGGCAGGATTATGCTGTTGGCCAGTGTACCAGTAGCAAGTCTGCTGTAGGTGGACGGTCTCTAGTCCATCTGGACTCCTTCTGGAGTCAGTACCCACACGCACCCCTTCCCACTCCCACAGAGGTCAGCCACTTCCCTGGGAAGGAAGTGGGATGAGAAAGTCAGCCTTGCTGCTCCTCTTTCTCTACCCTGCCCATTCCCCTGTCAGGCAGGTGGCTCAGAGCCCAATTCTTATTGGTACCCTTCTCTCCCAAGCATGGAACACCCACAGCTGCTACCATATTTTGCAGCATGTCCTTTTGACTATGGATTCTTCCTTCCTCTAGTTCTATCTATCTTCCTTCTAATTTTTTAGAAATTCCTCAAAAATGTCTCGAACATGAAGGGCACTCAATGCTGTTACTAATTTTTTTTAAATGTATCTCCTGTCATTTTTCCATGCTAGGGTCAAGGACAGAGGTGGAGAGACTGAAACATGTTGGCCCTTCTTAGGTAGATGTTTTGTCCTTCATCTTGAGCTCCAAACTCCCTGAAAAGAAACTTCATGTCTAATTCATCTCTCTTTTTCCCACAATGCTTACCACAGCACTGTGCATATCTCGGGTTCTTAATGGTTATTGAATGAATACATGACTGAAAATATGACCAAACAAATGAATATATGAATGAATGTCTAAATTAAAGAGTGAAGAAATAAATTGATGAATAAAATTAATAATTACAAAGTACCATAAGATGTCTGAAAGCTAAGTGTTTTATGCAATCAGTCAAGAAATAACATTCCCCCTGAAATTGTGTTTATGCAATTAATTTGTACTTCCTATATGGGAAGGAAACCCATTCCAGTTTCTTTGCTTTTTAACACAATTTCTAAATGAGCAGAGCACTAATTAATGAGGTTTTCTGGAAGCTTCATTTTTATCTGACTCGCAGAGCTGCAATATAGATTTTTCCTTCAGAAGTAATTCTTCCTCCCTCTTTGTGATTATATTAGCATTCAAGGGGAAACACTGGCTTCCTTAACTTTTGTCATGATTTGCATAAGTAAAGGCTTCAATAGGAAATGAAAATAAGATGGTGTGTTTGAATGACATTTATAAAGCTTCATAAAAGTTATGACTTCAGTTCTTTCCTATAAAATCGAAATACTTTTCCTTTGGCATCAGTTCTATGCAGGTATTCCTGAAAGGTTTCATTTAAAATGCTATAATGAGGTAGCCGAATCATTTCTTATCCAAAATACAATATTTCCATCATATGTACTTTTGAAAAGGAAGTGAAATAACACCTTTCATATTTGATTTTCATAGTCTGTGACTTGCTGATTTTTAAGGGATTTTATTCGAAGTATAATACGTGAATCATGAAAATTAACTTGAATGCTTTTTAAAGGTCCCATTTATTGAAGGCCAACTCGATGTCAGACACTGTCTATTCGTTATCACTGATCTACCAACCACTGGAGGAGGGGAGTTATTGCCTCTATTTTACAGATAAGGAAACTGAGTCTCAGGAAGGGAAAGTGTCGGCCCTCATGTAACTTGAAGGAGGAGTTGAGTGGGAACCTAGGTGTCATCCAAACTGGAGCTCTTTGTCCCCTACACCACAGTCAGATTCAGCTAAGTCTGGGCTGGTGGGCCCCACCCTGGTGACCTGGCATCTCATGCTGGGAGAATGTTGTCCAAGCCAACAGCAGTGAGAGTGGGATTTTTTTTTTTTTTTTTGAGAGGCAAGATTGAGCATTGCTTGGCCTGGTGTACCTAGCCCCAACTCCACTAGGCTGTAAGCCCCAGGAGGGCAGGTGTCCTGCTGGTCTTCTTCACTCCTCTCAGCCCACAGCCCTCCACCAACAGCCTCTAACATCCAAGAGCCTGATAGTTTTGAAGGAATGAAGAAATGTGTTTTTAGACAAGTCATATATCCTTTAGCCTGTTTCTTCTCCTGCTCTTCCGCTAGTCCCCAGGGTCCCTCCTGACCACCATCCCCATTTCATTTCTGACAATAGCCTCTTTACTTTGTCCCCTCAGACTTTAAATCTCTGCTAACTGCCAGGAAGTCTTCCCATGACAAATGGAACTTTCCATCTATGCACTGGTTTCCTATTACTGCAGTAACAAATTAGCAGTTTAAACAATACACATTTTCTTATAACCTTATAATTCTGGAGGTCAGAACTCCAAAATGGGTGTCACTGAGTAAAATCAAGGTGTGAGCAGGGCTGTGTTCCTTCTGGAGACTCTGGAAGAAGTTTATTCTCTTGCCTTTTCCAACTGCTAGCAGCTGCCCGCGTTCCTGGGCTCATGGCCCCTTCCTGCATTTTCCAAGCCAGAAACATTAGGCTGAGTCCCTCACACACACACCACACACACACACACACACACCACACACACACACACACACACACACACACACACACACACACCCCTTCTCACACTCCCTGGCTCTCTTCCGCCCCTCTCTTCCACTTTGGAGGACTCTTGTGATTACATTGGACCCACCTGATGATTCAACATAATCTTTGTCTTAAAGCCAGCTGACTAGGAACCTTAATTCCCTTTTGCTGTGTAACATAACATGTTCACAGGTTCCCAGCGTCATGACGTGGACATCTTTGGGGGCCATTACTCTGCCTACCACAGTCTGTAAACCAGATGTCCCCTGTTACATCACATTTGGAAGTAAAAATTCAGGCCCAACAATAGTCACAAACTGCTACTGTTCTGGGTCTTTCCTGATAGCTCTTTAGGAAATGTGCCCACCCTTGCCCCCATTCACCCTCTCAAATTCCTTCTCAGTCTGTACTGGGGGTCACCCCTGGTGTGTCTCCCATGTGCTCAGGAGACAGCCCTGTCAGCTACTCTGAGTCTCTGCAGTGCTGCTCCCTTCCTGCCCAGGCTGGAACTCCAGGCACAGAGTCAGGCTGCCCGACCTTCTGGGCATCTTACCTTCTGGTTTTACCTTGGTCCCTACTTCAGACCTCCTGTCTAGGCTGAGATCCACATCTTCAGGAGGTGGGGTTGCAGGGCAATCAGAGTGACCAACACTATCCCACACTCAGAGTAACTGCCCCAAACCTACCCCACACTACCCACATACTCACAGCGACTCCCTGCCCTGAAATGAAATAAAAATGGGTTTGTACGCTCTCTATCTCCTTAGGATTTATTCTTCGCCAAAGAGCTCCTTGATCCTTCATGCCAACAGAATCCCATTAGTCTTTCCCTACTTGCTCTGCAGATAGACTTGAGCCCTGGAGTGAGGATAATTTAGGTCAAGCCAGACCTTTTATTTTTAACCTCGTACACAGAGGGTTGAGTTAATCAATACACTTCAGTTCATGGTCCATTTTCAACATTGGTTTATGCAAGGCCCTTTTCTTGTCTCCATATGTATTCCTTTTAGTGGCCATTCCTTCCCAGACATCCGTTCTAACACATTTTATGTGTATCTCATTACTTTTATGAGTTCTTCACATGGTATGTACTATTTTGAATGTGTTGGTAATTTGCACAAACAGTATTGTGCCACATATCCTACTTTGTTTCTCACCCTTTCTCTCTGAATACTGTGTTTTTATGCTCTAGCCATGTCGTTATGCACATTTAGGCCCTTACTCCTGATGCCGCCTCATTTGGGCACCACATGTTACCTGTCCACTCAGCCAGGATGGACACCCAGGTGACCTCCAATAGTGCCTCAGTGAACAATATTCATTCCTGACATTTTGTGGGCAGGATGGGGGCGTGAGAATTTCTCTGGAACATTGTATTTGTTTTCTAGGGCTGCCATACCAAAATGCTACAGATTGGGTGGCTTAAACAACAGAAATTTATTTTCTCACAGTTCTGGAAGCCAGAAATCCCAAATCACATTTTTGACAGGTCTGGTTTCTTCGGAGGCCTCTCTCCTTGGCTTGCAGGCACCTGACTTTTTCCTGTGTCCTCACGTGGACTTTTCTCTGTGCAAGGGCACCTCTGGCAGGTCTCTGTGTGTCCAAATTTCCTCCTTTTATAAGGACACCAGTCAGATTGGATTAGGGCCTTTCCCAATAACCCCATTTTAACTTAATCACCTCTTTAAAGGTCCTCTCTCCAAATACAGTTGGCCCTTGCACAACACAGGTTCAAACTGTGTGGGTCCACTTATACACTGATTTTTTACAGTGCAGGACTGTCTTTTCTCTTCTATGATGTTCTTATTAACATTTTCTTTGCTCTGTCTTTATTGTAAGAATATAGTATATAATAAATATATGATATGTGTTAACTGACAATTTATGTTATCAGTAAGACTTCTGGTCGGCAGTAGGCTACTAGTAGTTAAGTTTGGGGGCATTAGAAAGTTATACATGGATTTTCAACTGCGCAGGGGGTCAGCACCCCTAACCCCTGCATTGTTCAAGGGTCAGCTGTATAGGCACATGCTGAAGTACTGGGGATAGGACTTCAAGGTATAAATTTTGGGAGGACACAATTCAGCCCTTACCAGATATATACCATGAGTGAAATTGCTGGGTCAGAGAGTACATGCACACTTGATTTCAATGCATGCATGTATGGGTCCATAAAGAATGAACAAGGGCCCCTATATCCTAGCCCACCTGTATGTGGCACGATCCAGCTTTCTACTATTTTGCTAATCCAATAGGTACAAAGTGCTGTCTCCTTATTGTTTGAAATTTCATTTCATATGCTTCTTAGTTTTCAAGATTTCCTCTTCTGTAAATAGCCTGCGAAATGTCCTTTGCCCATTTTTCTATTGCATTTTTCATTTTCTAGGTGAATTTCAGTGTGTGCCAATATATTCCAGATAATGGTTTTAGACATTGTTAATATCTTCTCTGTTCTGACATTTGTCTATTAACTTTGTTCATAGTGTATTTCATGAAACAGCAGAAAACTTCCATTTTGATATGATCAAAGTCATCAATTATTGTTCCCTTCTGGTTTGACCTTTTGAAGTTTTGTTTAAGAAAGTTCTTCCATAGGCTTAGGTCACAAAGATAATCTTCCACATAATTCTTTTATTAACTTTAGTTTTACTAGCAAATTTAGAAGTTTCATCCCTCCAGAGCCCAACTTTGTGTGTAGTGCTAGATAGGGATGCACTTTTTTTGACCATCTAGTGAACCAGTTTTTGCAATGGCATCCACCAAGCAATGTCTTCTCCATTCGTATACAGTAAAGGTGCCACTGCCATCTTATATTAAAGTGCCATGTATTTCGGGCTCTGAGCTCTCTATAGCCTCCTGTAGGGAAATTTGTCTTTCTATATCAATACCACACTGGTTTTATTGTTTAATCTCAGCTTTGTGCTCTGTCTTGATGAACTGCTAGGGTAAGTCTGCCCGTTACCCTTCTTTCTTTTTTAAGGTTTATTTAACTAATCATAGGAATTTGTTCCTTCATATAAATTTTGGAGTAAGTAAATTGAATTCCTAAAAAAAAAAAAAGGAAGAAAGAAGAAAGAAAGAAAGAAAGAAAGAAAGAAAGAAAGAAAGAAAGAAAGAAGAAAGAAAGAAAGAAAGAAAGAAAAGAAAGAAAGAAAGAAGAAGAAAGAAAAAATCCAGAAAAGAATTTGATTAGGAAGGTATTGAGTCTCTAAATTAATTTGGAGGCATTTGATATTTTTGTAATAGGTCTGACATTTATTCAAATCGTCTTCAATGTGCTTTACTTGGGCTTTTAAATTCTTCTCATAGAGGTACTACACGTTCCTGGTTAAACTAAATAGTTTGCAGACTTTGTAGATATTATGAATATTATCTTATATTTGATTGTATTTTCTAACGTATTGCTGGTTTAGAATAAAAACTATTGGTGTTTGGAGGTTAATCTTGATTCCAGCAATCTTTTTTCAAGATTTTATTTATTTATTTGAGATAGAGAGAGAGAGAGAGCATGAGCAGGGTCAGGGACAGAGAGAGAAGAGAAGCAGACTCCCTGCTAACAGGGAGCCCAACGCAGGACTCGATCCCAAGACCCTGGGATCATGACCCGAGCCGAAGGCAGACGCATAACTGACTAAACCACCCAGGTGCCCCAGATTCCAGCAATCTTGATAAACTCTCTTATTATTCTGAGAGTTTATCTGCTGATTTTGCTTGTTTTTCCAGGCTATGACCCTATCATTTATGAATAGTGATAGTTTTAGCTTTTTCTTACAATCCTTGAACTCTATGTCTTTTCTTTCCCTATACCTTTGGCTAGGGGCATGAGTCCTACAGAAAATAGAAGCTGAAATACTTGATATCTTTGTCTTATTCCTGATCTTAATGCTTTTCCATTGAGCTATGATGATTTTGTATTTAGTTTTTGTGACGTATAATTCTCATTAAGGAAATTTCCTTCTACTTCTAAATTTCTGAGAGCTGTACAATCTTAGGCATTTTTGTATTATTTGAAACAATCATATGATTCTTCTCCTTTAGGCCTTCATGAAATGAATTACATTGATTCTCTGATGTTAAGCTTGACTTGCATTCATGTAATAAACCCTATGTGACCATGATGTGATTATTTAACATACTTGGTTTTAGTTAGCTCATATTTTATTTTGCATTATTGTATCTACGGTCATAAGTGAACTGGCCCTATAATGTTTTGCTTATATTGTTTTTATCTAGCTTTGAAATCAATAGTTTATTAGCTTAATAAAATGAGGTAGGAAGCTTTTGCTCTTTTCCTGTTTTCTAGAACAACTCTTTCCTAAAAGTTGGTTAGAATTCATTTGGAAAACCATCTGAGCATTTTGGGCAGGGAAGAAGATGTCAGCTATCATTTCAATTTCTTTAGTATCTCAAGTTCTGTTCTCTATTTCTTTTGTCCTGTTTCATCTCATCCCCTTGTTCATAAACATGTCCCAATACTCATTGCCCCACTCACACATCACACATAGTCTATCTCTGGAGACCCTGACTACTTTATAGCAAAATTCAAATCCCCTATGTTTTATGAGTCAATTCCCAACCCCATCACAACACTGTTATCCCTTCATTATCGCCCTTGATAATTCGATGTGTATATCTTATACTATATCTACTATCTTTACCAAGGCTGTCTCTCTGTGTTATCTCCATTTTTATCCAGCAATGGGTAATCTAGTATCATGTATATAATATGGTCATTACCTTGCACGAAGCCCTGTTTTCTTTAAAATTAAAAAAATTTGGTAAAAATAAAGGGCACAATCAGACAACAAAAAGAAATAAAAGGCATCCAAATCAGCAAAGAAGTCAAACTCTCACTCTTTGCAGATGATATGATACTTTATG